AATATAGTGGAACCAGCAGTTAGCGTAATGGCTATGTCGCTGGACTCCCACGTAGTCGACCATGGTTCGCGTACCGGACCCAGTGGCTTAAACTCACGCTGGGCGCATGTACGTGCATGCCCAAGATCCCCAGAGGAGAATGGAGAAGGGATTGCGGCATGGCCATCCCCCCCAGTGTGTGATTTCTCGCTTTCTGTCTCTCTGGCTCTGTCTTTCTGGCGAGCACGTGCCCTATAGTAAAAACCTCTCCAAACAACAACAAAAAACCTCCCATATGGGACAAACGAAATATACCTGAGGGCCAGCCAGCCCTGCCCCAGGCCATGTGTGCTGAGAAAGGGGCTCTGGGGGTGAGGGCCCTACAGATGCCACGAGCTGAGAGTTCAGATGGCAACTGTGTGGCCAGACCCTGCTAGCCTCTGACAGCGAGGGGACGCAGTTGGGTCCTCCAGACAATACAACTCCCCAGCTGCTGTGGGCCCAGACCCCAGGCCCCCAAGGACTAGAGCTGGCTCAGCCAAAGGCCTTGGCTGCTGGCTGGGTTGGAGCGGGTGTGGGTGTCCTGGGGCTCTCCGGAAGTCGGGAGCTGAGCTGGGTCCCCACAGGCTGAGGCACGACTGACCACAAACACTGAGGGGAGGAGAGCAGACGTTTTCCCGGAACCCTCCAGAGCAGGGGATTTTTCTGGACTAGTCCAGCCCCAGTACCCGCCCCTAATGCCCAATCAAGGCTTCTGTTAACTGCTGCCCAGGGCCCACCCCCTGCTGGTGAGGACCCAAATCCCTCATCCCAGCCCCTATCCCCAGCACACTGGGGACTCAAAGCTTCCAGTAACCACGGCTCAGTCCCTGCAATTGTGGCAAATGGGGGTCTGGAGATGCCCGCAGGCCCTGAAGGCCGCCATGGCTGGAAGCCCCAGACTCGGATCTGGCATTAGGGGCTGTACTTCGGACCTGTGGGAAGGGCTGTGTGGCCTGCCTAGGCGTTTCTGAGACTGGATTAACAGCCCAAATAACACATCGAGAGCTTTCACACAGAAATCTGGATCTTGTTTCTCTTGAAAAGGCCAAGCCTCTACTCCAGGCCAGCCTGGCAAGTTGGGGCTGACTCGGTCTCTCTGGGTCACCACGGGTTCTGGGGTCCACTTCTAGCATTCGTGTTACCTGCAGGCACTTGGGTTCTGATTCTCGGGCTCACTCAATATTCGCTCACTTCGTACACGAAAATCAGGAAGCTACCTAGTATCACACAGCGA